GAATTCTTTCTTGGTCATTGGCTCCAGACCTCACCCCACCGAACCTCACCTAGGTTCTAGAACTTCATCAATAACTATCTCGCTGAACTCCTGGGATGCGATGATACTTAGTCTCCTGCTCCTCCACCATCTTTCCCCTCCCCCTTCACTTCTTTTTTTTTTTAACTACAAGCAGATTGTTTGAGCTTGTTTAAGAACTTTCCAGATAAAGATTTTGAGTAGTTTTATTTCAGTGTGTTAAAAATACAAAAAGGCAATATCTTCAATGAGTTTGTCAGTCTAGTTAATGTTAGCTAAGATGGCATTTCACTCTTCAGATTTAAAAGTAAAACTGCGGTGCTTGGGTGGCTCAGTCGTTATGCATCTGCCTTCAGCTCGGATCATGATCCTAGGGTCCTGGGATTGAGCCCTGCATCGGGCCCCGTGCTCAGTGGGGAGCCTGCTTCTCCCTCTCCTTCTGCCTGCCATTCCCTTGGCTTGTGCTCTCTCTTTCAGTATCTTGCTCACTCTTTGTCAGTTAAATAAATAAAATCTTTTTAAAAATATTTTATTTATTTATTTGACAGAGATCACAAGTAGGCAGAGAGGCAGGCAGAGAGAGAGGAGGAAGCAGGCTCCCTGCTGAGCAGAGAGACCGATGCGGGGCTCGATCCCAGAACCCTGGGATCATGACCCGAGCCGAAGGCAGCGGCTTTAACCCACTGAGTCACCTAGGCGCCCCGATAAATAAAATCTTAAAAAAACAAAAATAAAAAAATATTTTGCAAAACCAAAAGAAGGAGTTAAGAAATGATTTTTGTAATTCATTTAGCACAGCCAACAATATACTATTTTTATTTGGATCTCAGGATCTTTGCATAGTATCTTTTTCAGTTATGACGTCCACTCAAAGTACTTAAGTCAGTTGAACTTAGACCCAGATCTTCAAATTTGGGTATCACAAAGATGTAAAAAATCAATTTAGACATATTAAACAGTACTTCACCTTCTAAATATAGTTAATGAGGTTAAAAGAACTTTTATACCTGTAATAAATGAAAATAAAATATTATCTATGTTATATTTATTTCATCTTTAAAATTTCTATTATTGTGACCATTTTATAGCAGATACTCCTAGACTAATGCAGAGATATAATTTATCAGTAACTACATATACATGTGTAGGAATGGACATACATACCAAAAAGAGATCACTGGTCTTGTCAACTACTTCAGAGTAGAAATCTACAACAATTCATGATGACTGCCTAACCCAGAATTGCAACTCAACGTGGATTCAGTGAGTGAGTAAATGAACCCCTTTATCAGTGTTGTCATGTATTGTAGGATTGCCCTTTTTAAGGCTGAGTAATACCCTCTTTATGTATATGCCAGTTCTCTTTCTCCAAAACATTATGCTAAGTGAAATGAGCCAGTCACAGAAGGACAAATACTGTAGGATTCTACTTACAGGTTTTTTTTTTCCCTATATTAGTCAAACTCCTAGAAGCAAAGAATAGAATGGTGGTTGCCAACAGTTAGACAGAGGGGGAAAAGGGAGTTGCTAATCAGTGGGTATAAATTTCAGTTACGCAAGATGAGTAAGTTCTAGAGATCTGTTCTGTAACATTGTGCTTGTAGATTACAATACTGTATGATACATTTGGAAGTATGTTGAGTGTTCTTAATGAAATAAACTTAATGAAAAATTTTAAAGCCCGTCCACGGAAGCCATAGCGGTACATAGAAGAACTAACAAATAGATTAAGAACACCAGCTTCTGAAAGTTTCTAGGCAAGCATTCAGGGGGAAAAAGGCATCTGAGAAGTATCACGTGTCTATGAGTCTAAGAAAGGAGGCTTCACTGTAATCCACTGTCTCATCCATATCCGTATTCCTTCAACGGAATGTCATTAATTCAATTCAGTGAGGAACTACTGAGTGCCTCAGATCTGACTCACAAAGGAAGTTACTACAAAATAAGTTATCTACGATTCCTGATTTTAAGAAATTCCTGTTAAAAAAAAAATTCATGTTTAGCTTTAAAATAAGTCTCTCACTTCCACTTAGAGGAAGGATCAGAGAATTTGAGCCTCTTGGGGATGTTATTTGATAAGTGACCAGCTTCTTTGTCTTAGCACATACTCATCCTCTCCTTGTTGTCTCTTTCCGGCTAGAAATGGGCACCTTCGTGGAACACCGTCTGGCAGAGCTCCCACCAAGACCAAGCTAGCCTCATCTTCTGTACTGCAGATCAAGTGGCTCACACTTCAATCATGAAAGCTGGTAAGAAATGCAAAATGCATTTTTAAAAGATCCTCCTTGGTAAAACTAGAGGGGGGAACCCTAAAAGTACCCTACTTTCATGTCTTTTTTCTGGATTGTGATCTACATAGAGAGTAAGAAAGAAGATAACCATGGAGATAATCTAAAGTGAGCTAAGTAGCTAGATGTACTATTATCCCTCAAAATCTGGAAACAAGATACATAGCAAAATAAAGTAGACTGTTGGGGCACCTGGGTGGCTCAGTAAGTTAAGTGTCTGTCTTCAACTCAGGTCATGATCTCAGGGTCCTGGGATCAAGCTCCGCATAAGGCTCCTTTCACAGTGGGGAGTCTGCTTCTCCTTCTGCCCCTAGTCCCACACCCAGCTTGTGCATTCTCTATCTCCCTCAAATAAAAAAAAAAAAAAAAAAAAAAAAAAAAACAAACTATTAAAAAAAAAAAAAAGGAATGAACGTTGAAGGCAGTGAACTCAGAAGTTGTTAGTAACTCAGAAAATCACAGGAAAAGGAGATCTTTCCAAACTGTTACTCATTCCAAGGACTCACGTCAGAGGGGATGGCCAGGTTTCTTGAATTTCCATTTCACTGTGATGACTGGCCCTGAGAGACAGCTTCCTTTGGGCATAGGGCTCTGCACTGTGTCCCAGGCCCCTGGGTTTTGACAGAAATACCAGTGGTTGAACTACCCTCTGGATACCCAGCATCATGGGACTTTACGCATGTAACAGGAATAGCACCAAGGGCAATAGTTTTAGAAGTTTTCCTTCATTGCCTCAGATGCCTGCTGTCCTGGAGACCCATCCTCCTGGCCGCATGTGTTCTGCCCCGGGAACTGAACAGCAGGCAAGTGGGGCCGGTTCCATCTTCCCTTGCCGTAGATCAAGTTGCAAAGTCAGCAAGACTCATGTAGGCTCCTACCTATACTCCCCCTGCCTGACGTGGGACTGCAAGCTAAGGGGGATTATTTTGATAAGAAATAATACACTCTAGCAAAGAAAAGTCTGAGCGAATCTTTATTAAAATGTTTCCATCTTAGCAGGAAAAACCAGAAAGAAACCTAGAGAGACTATTACAACCAAGATCTTGTACGCCAAGCTAAGGAGGAAAAAAAAGTCATCATATAAATCTTAGCAAATACTTAAAGTACTTTATTTCTATGCTAGTTTGTCCCAACTGAGACTCCCTCATGGAGATTGCTTCTATGTTATCTCAAAGCCTCAAATAATAAGCTGAAAAATCTTGCATAGTGTTTTCTCTAGGAAACGAAATGGGCCTGAGGCCTCCTATTCTTTGTCTACTCAACATCACTACTAACAAAGATGTAAATTTGGTATTGAAAATTTTAACCTTTTAAATCTAAATATTAAGTCCAAATACGAACAATTCTAGATATTTGTAATAGGATTTTAAAAGGCAGATGCTGAGAAATGTGGGTCCCAATAATCCCAAAGCAGGAAAAAAATCCAATAAAAGGCAGCTTTCTGCAGTTTTTACTGAAGATGGGAAAGAAAATGTGCCCATGAAGCCATCATTTCTGAGAAAAGTTTGTCGCTTGGACATGGACTCCACCAACTGGCGTGTTTGCCTGACACTCACACTGGTATTTCCAGGCGTGCTGGATCTCCAAGCACAGCGCCCGTCAGCAGCCCTGTACCCCCAGCGACACCTGTGCCCAAGCACCTGCAAATCTGCATTTCCCCAGCAAAACAATAAAAATCTAAATGAAACCTAGCGGTTCTTCCAGCTGAGGCTCTAGAAGGCCCCAGGAAGGACGGTGCTTAGGAAGGAGGCCTTGGCTCCGCATAGCAGTGGCTTATGGAGTTTTTTTAAGACACACAAGAAGCACAGTGAGGCAGCGAGGACGCAGTCACCCCTGGGCTTTAGTGGGTCTTGGCTCCCCACCCAGCAAGCACCACAAGGGGCTGCCTGTAGGAGGAGGAAATCAGACCTGTGCATCCTGGTTACAGGAGCCCAGCTTTCCTTGCAGGTATCCTCAAGGAGAGCAGCAAAACCATCCATTAAACCAATATTTTTGTTGAGTTTATTCTCCTTAATAACCCAGTAATCTGGAGCTAAATGGGTCCTCAGCCTCTTCTTTCAACCCAACCCAGCCCTGCCTTCCACCCCCATATACACACACCTCGTTCCCCTCCCTCCTCTGTCCCTTGACCCAGCCTCGACCCACTCTGATGTTCCCTTTTCTCCCAGGGCCACCACCCCCACTGCCTCCCTGAGCCCCAGGCCTTGAGACTCTGCTGCCTGAGACTGTAAGTCTGGCCGGCCCTGAGAACAGCAAATGAAGGAGCAACTGTGGGAATGGACAGCTCAAGGACTCTGGCGTGGGTCTGCCTGTGGAGGTACGGTAAGACACCCCATCCATCTCAAAATGATAGAGGGCAGGGCAGGGCATCACAGGCCTGAGGACAGCTCAGCCAGGCTGCTGCTTGCTCCAGTGAATGAAATGAGGCAGGAAAAAAAAGCACCTGAGTCATAGGTTTGCAACAGTGGCATCAATATCATCACTAAAATCCCTATAATTCCTTCTCCAAAAGGAACAGAAATGGATAAAGAAATGAGAAAGGATAGAAGGGAGGGATGGAGGGAGAGAGGAAGGGAAAAGGAAGAAAGGAAGGAAGGGAAGGAGGGAGGAGGGAAAGTCTCTCACTCTAGTTGGGGGTGCCAAGTACTGTCATAACGTGACCATTCCAAACAGATGTGAATCCTCTTCCCTGTTTTAAATCCCAGCATCAGGAAACAGGATTCCAGGCAGGAGTATACCCTAAAAGCCTTCCACGGAGAGCGTGTGGTTGAGTGCGTAGGCGTCTCCATCCTCTTCCTCCAAAAGCAGCTTGTCGATGGTCAGGGAATTCATGGCTCTCCTGGGGTCCTCCATGTCCTGAAGGACTGGCTCGGGGATGGAGATGGGCAGCTGTACGAACTGGGGCCCAGGCAGGGCTGGGGCCGGAGGCTGGTACTGCAGGGTGGAGGTGGGCAATGTGGACAGGGGCTGAGGCCACGGGAAATAGGTAAGAGGTGCCTGGTGCTCCGGGCCGTCCAGCTGGGGCCCCACTGTGGGCGCAGCTGCGCTTCTCGTCTGTGATGGGGAAGACACAGGACCAAGGGTTAGCAAAGCCAGGGGGACCCACTTATCCTTGCCTGTCTTTGTCCTCGTAGGGGTCTCTCCATGCCCCTTGCCTGCTGTCTCCCTCCAGGGGCTCTGTCTCCACCTGCTCAGAGTCTCCCCCAAGGGAGAAGCCACACAGACTTCAGCTGGGTCCCTGACTCTGTCCCTCACTAGCTAAGTCCTCGCTCATGCTACCTCCCCAAGCATCCATTTTCTCCTCTGTAGAGAGAGTTATGAATAAGACTGATGCCATAGGGCCGAGCTGATTAGAGACACTTTTCCAGACTTTATTGAATATACATTCCATCCCAACTTCAGGTATACTAAAATATGGGTGGGGGGACATGTACATCTTAAAAATCAGTGAAAACAAGCCCGTCCTGTGGCATAGTAGCTGTGTTCCAAAAGTGGTCACTGTTCTGCCTAGACACAAAGACAGTCCTGGCCCCATACAGCAGCTCTGACATCCTGGGGTCCACCTGGGCCAACACAGCTCCACTCCCCTCCTTTGTGCTCTGAGCTAGACCTGGGTGCTGGGGAAGCACCACTCCGTTAGTAGACAAGACTTTCCTTAGAGCTTCTAGCACCTTCCATGTCCTCATCCTCCTCCGTCTCTGAGCTGGGCACCCTCTGGTTGTCCCAGGGCCATCTTCTCAGGTGCCCTGCAAATAGTGCCTCTCCCCTGTGCAGCAACCTGAGGTCAAGCCTGCATGAAAGGCAGGGCCTGGATCCCTACTGTCTCCCACAGCTGAGGAAGCAGGTGGAAGAGGAAGGTACCTACATGAAATGATGTGAGCGAGGCCCAGATCTCCCCCTGCTGCCCCTAGTTCCCCCTGTCCAGTTGCCGCTGTGTTCTGAGAACAAACCATTAGAGTTCAGTTTAATGGGATGAGCTTATTTCGGTTTCCTGGGAATCTTGTGACAATGCAGATTTTGGTCCAGGAGGTCTGGGGTAGGGCCTGGGACTCTGCATGTCCAGTCAGATTCTTGGTGATGCTAGTGTGGCTGGTCCAGGGGCTGCAGTGTGAGTAGCAAGTCTCTAGGGTGTTTTCCTAGAGAATGCTGGAGCTGGAAAGCGTCTCCAAGGCCTTCCAGCCTCCCAACAAAGCCTTACTGTTTCCAGTACTTCAAAAATGCACAGGGCAATCCTTTGAGTCATAAACCCATGCAGGTCACTGCGGCAACACGGTTTCTTGTCTCAGAGATGGAATTCCATCAACCGAGTGCTATACAAGGTCTTATCTCCTGCTCATCACGAGTGCTGACTGGTAGCTTGAACCAGCTTTGATGAATTCACTTACAAAGCAATAAAACAAATAAATTACTTCTTAATAAATAGAGATACATAGAGCCTTTCAAAGTAGGAGGTGGGGCTAATGAAAGATAAATAATGAAATCCTTGAGATCCTTGGGACTGAAATGACTGGGACCAGTTAGATGGCCCCTACCATCCACACCCAAGGCTCCTGATATGGAAATGAGTTGCTTGGGAAAAGTGTTGAATTCACTCCTTCCTAACCAGCATCATGTAGGCCCCACAACTGGTTCACTGGGTAGCCAGGGGGCATGGGGTAGGAGGGCTTCTGGGGGCCCTTGCCTGGATGGTGATGAAAAGGCAGGAGCGTCAGAATGACGCTGAGCCCTTGAAGGAGATGGGTGGGCAAGCTCCTGTATCAGTGTGGGCTTTGCAGCTACTCCTGAGTCTACCTGAGTCTACCTGCCCCAGTCTTCCCTGAACTGAAGCTGGATACAGCTGTACCTGTAGGCCTCTTCTCCTCTCAACACTTGGGGGATTCCCATTCCTTTGGTCAAACAGGTACCACTCATGTAAAAGTATCTCTCGTGCTTTCTTCATTCCTTTCCCATCTGGCACTTGGAGGCCGCCCTTGGTTAATGTCGCTGCCTGACCTTAGCCAATCATAATAACATTTATGGAGTGTTTTCTGTATGCCAGGGATGATGCTGAGTCCTCCATAAGTATCATCCCAGTTGATCCTGACATCAGCCCTCTTGTTAGTATTCCCAACTCACAGATGAGGACACCAAGGCTCAGAGAATTAAGTCACTCAGTCTGGGGTCTCATAGCTCCTAAGTGAAGGCACAGTGATACGAACCCAGGCAATCTGAATCTAGAGGCAGCACTCGAAACGTTACCCTGCGGGTGGGTCTGACTTCATCAGCAGTAGTTTTCTGTGGGGTCCCTGGGTGCCTCAGTCGGTTGAGCGTCCAACTCAGTTTAGGCTCAGGTCTTGACCTCAGGGTCATGAGATCGAGCCCTGCAGAGCTCTGTACTCCACGAGGAGTCTGCTTGAGGGGTCTTTCTCTCTCTCCCTCTACCCTTCCCTCCACTCACATGCGCAATCTCTCTCTGTCTCTCTAAAAATCTTTTTTTTTTTTTTTCCAAAGATTTTATTTATTTATTTGAGAGAGAGGGACACAGTGAGAGAGGGACCATAGCAGGGGGAATGGGAGAGGGAGAAGCAGGCTTCCCGCCAAGTAGGGAGCCCGATGCAGGGCTCAATCCCAGGACCCTGTGATCATGACCTGAGCTGAAGGCAGACGCTTAACGACTGAGCCACCCAGGCACCCCCCTAAAAATAATCTTTAAAAAAAAGTAGTTTTCTGAAAAGTTGTGTCACCTGTTGTTTAGCCTCAAGCTCACCTGGAAAATCCCATTGCTGAGTGAACAATTGCCCCCCCCCCAAGCTACCTGAATAGAATAACACGGACTCTGGTCCAAGGCCCTGTGCACACCTCCCTGATACCCCATTCACTGAAAACTTAAACTTCTAACCAAGCCTTGCTGCTTTGGGGGCATCAGAGGAGACTTAGGGCAGAAAGGCTGGAGAACGTCCCAACCCTGAGGTGCCTGAGGGACGACAAGGATGTTCCTAAGCCTTCTTTGTGGCAGCATCTCTTAGGTCACTGGGAACAGGAGCTGGCCTCCCTGCAGGACGAGGTGGGCCTGACGACTCCATTATCCTGCAGGTCAGTAGCAGGAATGATTGGGGTCAGGAAGTCAGCCCACATTCCGCGGGGGCCCTTGGCCTGGGTTGGTGCAGCCCTGCGCTGGTCAGACCTACCGTGACATTAGTGATGAGTGGCTGGGACGCGTAGGTCAGCACGGAGGAGGGCCCCACCACCGTGTAGCTCGGGCACATGGGCTGCACGTACATGTCCGCTGAGTAGGGGCAGCTGACAGCTTCATGTGACACGTATTCCGTGTAGGGTGTCCACGGGGCCAGGGGTTGGAGGGTCGCCGGGGCAGGCTGGGAGAGCCAGCCGGCACACAGGGCCCCCTCCTCGGTCACCGTGGAAGCAGAGACCTCCATGTCAAGGCAGGAAGGACCTGTGGGAAGAAGAAAATAGCAGAGCTGCAGGTGTCACCGGGACGGGCCTGCGGGGCGTCCCCAGGGCTGCGGGAGCGCTTACCCACTGTGGTGTAGGTCGCCAGGGGCTGATGGGGCAGCACCACCTAGAGGGAGAAGGGAAGACGCAGATCAGGGCTCAGCTATCTCCAACTGGCCCTCCTCGGAAAACTTGCCTCCAGGAGCAAAACCCACCCAACAACTGTCGCCCACGTACTTAGGGGGATTCGCGTTTCCATTTAGCAAGAACCTGTGCACTTAGGGAACTGGCAGGGGCCTCTTACCGTGGGAAGCCACCAGCTTAGGCCGGATTTGTGGGAGTTCTCCTCCCCCCCCACCCCCCGCCCCCCTGCTGAGCCAGCCAGCCCCTCCCCTTCTTCCTACTCTTAGGGGGATCCCTGACTTGTTCCACCCCAGGTCTGTTCTTCATGAGCCACACCATGGTAATGTGTCAGCTGCCTGGCCTCAGAGAGCACCCCGTAGAGCAGGGACGCACGCTCCCATCCCACCCTGTGGGGCACAAAGCCGCACATGCGTGTGTGCACACACACTGGCCGCGGTGGCCCGCTCACCGCCGTAGGTGTGACAGCCGCCCCACTGCTCGCGTGGCCACGTTTCCTCCGGAGCAGTTCCTTCACCGGCTCCTTCACGCGGACGCCCTGGTACGGCCGGGGCGGGGCTGGGGCTTGTTCTGGAGCTGTCGCTGTGAAAAACAATGTCACTGGTGCTCATGTCCCTCTGGGGCAAGCCCCCACCCCAGGGCGCTCGCCACCCTTAGCTGTGCCTGAACACGGAGGACCCGCAGGACTTCCTGGACAGTTTCCCCCAGTATCGCCCCAAACCTTCTATGGCTCCTTTTCATCCCACCGATTAAGGCCTGCAAACTTCATGGGCAATGGAAAGTCCTGGGCTGTGTTAGCTCAACCCATTTTCTAACCACTTTGCACACGAAGTGCTACATACACCCTGACTCTGGCCGGGCATGAACCCTGACTTCTCTTCGTGTTCCTTGCATGTCTCATGTCCTCATCTCTCTCTTTTTTTTTTAAGATTTTATTTATTTATCTGATAGACTGAGATCACAAGTAGGCAGAGAGGCAGGCAAAGGGGCGGGAGGGAAGCAAACTCCCTGCTGAGCAGAGAGCCCGATGTGGGGCTTGATCCCAAGACCCTGAGATCATGACCTGAGCTGAAGGCAGAGGCTTAACCCACTGAGCCACCCAGGCGCCCCTCATATCCTCGTCTTTACTTGAGATTTCCCATGGTCAGGATTCCTGCTTAAACTTCTCAGCTTCTTGACCGGTCCTCTCTGAAGACCTAGCACAACCCTCCTGGGTGCCCACGGCTGCCCACAGAAGTAGCTTCCTCCTCCAACCACTGAGACCCATGTGGTGGTCCGCATGGGGGGCTCTAGAGGCTGGCCTAAGAGCAGGCACTCTGAGTCCCTATGGTACAGGCCTTGAGGTCTGCCCCTGCCAGGTTCTAGCTGTGTGACCCCATCAGGTTACTAACCCTCTCTGTGCGATTTCCTATAAAGGAATGTCATAAGGAGTCACTGGCCTAGTAAATGAGAAGCATAGTAGGTGCTTAGTATAAAATCAGGTGCAGAGTGAGCATTTAATAAGTTTGCAGTCTGCTCTATAATAACGAGTAACCCTTTGGTTGTAAATTTCTTATGCCCCTAACTAGATTATGAACTTGTCAAGGTGAGCTATTATACCTTCTTTCTCGATATCCTCCCAGGTAGCATGTCCATAGCAAGCTCAGTAAGGTCTTTGTTGATTAACAGGTTGGATGGTGATTTGCAATGTGCTGCCCTTTAGAATGTGCCCAAACCTTTAGAATGGACTGTGGTGAATGGTTCCTGGGGTTCTCTGTAGCCCGCAGGACAGAGGACACATACCCGATGCTGAGCCACATACTTGGGACCAGAGGGTGTCCAGCCTTGCGGCTGTGAGAAGGTTCGCTGTGCCTTTTGTCATCAAAGCTGGGAGGCCAAAGCACTGGGCTGGAACAGGGCACCTCCTGGCCAGGGAGAGCAAGCCAGCAGTGGTCATGGCTGGGCAGTGACCGTCTACCCACCCAGACAGCCCACAGTCTAGGGCCCCCGGCCTTTAAAGGGCAGGCTTGGGTCAGCCAAGAAGAGTGAGTACCACTGGCCCTGGGGACTCACACAGGGAGTCCATTATCATCCAGTGATAAGGGCCCCAGGGACCTGGGCTCTGATCAAAAGCCTGAAAGCCTGGGTACCTATTAAACCCGGAACCACAGTGCGGCTCTGGCTGAACTTTGCTCAGTAAATACCCAGCTGATAAGAACCCAGGCCTGACCGAGCACCAGACCTCCAGCCATGCTCCAGGCGCACGCACAGCCTGACCTGGAAGCCTAGCAGGCAGAGACGGGCAGCAGGAGGAGGGAAAGGGCGTGTGCAGAGCCCTAGAGACACACGATGCAGAGAACCCCTGACTCAGACTCATGCAAGGCAGCTTCCTGACCCAGGCTGCTCGCCGATACTCATTCGTTCTCTCAACCGTCCTAGGGCACTAAGAACACATTACTGAACGGCACCACAGTGGGCCCTGCCTGCATGCCTCTTGCATCTACTGGAGGAGACAGCAGTGGAACAGCTGTGAGGACGTGTGAAATGGACACGGACACCAGAATGTGGAGCTGAGAGACCCAGCCTGGGGCCAGAGCCCCAGGACCGCCTGTGAGCAGGTATTCCTGCAAGCAGTATTAACAATGGACTCGAGAGCCAAAAATAGCCTGTATTCAAATCGGGCCATCACTTACAGGTGGAAAGGTCTCAGATGATTTTTTAATGCCCCTGGGCCTCGCTCATTCATGTCCCACAGTGGTGGCGCAGACTCACTGCCATAACACAGAGGGTGCTCCCAAAGCCACGTCCACCTATGTTACAGGTTCTCTTCCTTCCCCGCCCCCAGCCACTTCCGCCTTCCTCTGGGGAGTGACACCATCTGGAAGCTTTTCTGCCAACTTGACCTGCCACATGGTAACAAACACCATTTTTCCTTGCTTTTGCCTTCTGATGCCGCTCACCATTCATAATCCGTCTATGGCCTTCTCATCTGCACAGTGAGGATCCTAAAGGTACGTGCTGGTTAGAGTAAATGCTTAACACAGAGCTTGCACCGAGGATGCATTAAATAAATGCGAGCTAGTATTATCATTCGTGTTGGTAGTAGTATCCCCGTCCAGCATCTGGAGACAGATACCAGGTCTCCTGTAGAGTCTGAATGAACATCCCATCCTTGCTGCTATTTCTTAATGACATGTTCTGAATCCTTGTAACTCTCTTTCTGGGTGCCTCACCCCTGCACATGTTCCATGTGCCACTTCCCCTCCTGATCGTGGATGCCCAACGTTGGCCCCAGAGCCCACCCAGGTGGGGCCTGATGGCCCAGAGAACAGGGCGACCTGCCGTCCCACACTCTGCTCACTCATTCTCAGTCGCGCACAGCCACATCGGCGTTGTTCACACCCATATCACTCAAGCTGTGTGCCTGCGATTGGGGTTCCAGCTCTCCTGGGGCACAGCCTGAGGCTGTACTTGGGAGAAACTCGGGAACAGGGTTATATGGGGGTCTCCACAGTGTGGTCACACTCCTGATTCAGCTGGGGGACAAGAAAGGCTCGATCCCACAGGCAGGCATCTCAGACCAGCTCAAAGACAGGTACGAGGCTAACCCCCTGATTTGCATGTACACTTCTGGGGAAGGGCCCACAGGACTCCCGAGCCCGCTCCTCCGCATGAGGTGGACACATCAAACGCTTGCCTGCCAAGGGCCCAGCTGGGCATTTCCAGGACCTTGTCAAGTGTCCGCTTCCTGCCTCCTGTTGTTTTCGTATCAATGAACAAAGAGGGCTTGGGGGAGGTGCTGCGAGCAGAGGGTATGGGCCTCTGATGTCTGGACTTCCTCAGAACCCACAGTGTCAACAGGTGTGCCCAGCACAACGGCCATATGGAGACTAGTTTCTAAGTCCCCACCTCTTCCTGCTGCAGTCGCAAAACTCCCACAGCTCTCCAGGATCTCCTGCCTACCCACCTATGAGTGCACAACCTGCCGTCAGGGAGTCCTGCAGCTGACAGTGAGGGTGCTTCCCACAGTGTCTTTGCAAAGTGGCCATGACCCATCGGTATCAGAAGCCTCAGGACAGTTCCCAAAGGACCCCCATGGCCAAGTGTATTTGCAAAGCCAAAACTTGGAATCAGTGCCTTGCACACTGACCTTTGGGAAGCAACAATAAACGTTTCTAATTCTATAGTAAACACTGTACTCCCTACCACCACCAGTCCACAGATACACATTTGGAATAGGAAAAGAACTTTGTCTGAAATGATGATTGCTTTGCCTCAGGACTTCTGGATCCCTGAGCTGAGCTAGCTTACAGACAACTAAACTAGAATATTTAAAAGAAAAATTTTAAGATTCTTAAAATAACTTCTCAAAGTAATAATAAGAGGCAAAGAAAATAAACCAGAAGGTCAAAGTGGTAATACATGCGCAGAGAGGATGAAAGCCCAGTGTCCCAGAGCAGAGTTGACCACACATTTTAACAGCCCCTCATCAAACTGCAGCGCCAGGTAGCATGTCCTCCAAGACTGACGCCTCCTCACCATTTCTCCTGTGGTTTGAAGGCCCATTAAGTCTCCTGGGAGCATCCAAGTGTCCGCCACTGAGAAAAAGTCTTTCCACCTAAACGTGAGCCTTGCTAGGAATCTCCTTTATCATGGCGAGAAGTTCAGCCACATTACCTTCCTACCACTGGAAGTCAGTCACCAGTGGAGTTTGGGTGAAAAACAACAACAACAAAAACTCGTTTACAGAAAAACCTATGAATTTGGCCCCAGTGAGGGCTTCCCTTTTCCAAAACGAGCGACGAAAAAATCTGAAGGTATAAAAAGTCAGCAGAAGACATTTCAGTTCCCCCTGCCACACACCCAGACATGCTCCACATCACAAAAATAAGAGTCCAACAGCTGCTGTTCTTCTGGAGAGCACAGACCATGACAGACCAAGCCGAATGGTCACTCTGCTTGTGCGTCTTTGCACAGAGCTGAGGGAATGTATGGATTCTACTCATTTAAATAAACGTGGCCCTCCAGTTCCTTGAAGAAGTTATAATAAATATCACTGAGCACATATGCAAAATTGTCGGCACTTGTTTATTTAATGACCCCATGCAAACCACATTCACACCACAGTGAGGGAGCTACTCGGCTAAGGACGTATGTCCCTCCTAATGGCTCCTAGTGGAGCCAACACCCGGGCGTTTTCACTGTAACTTCTCTAGGCAGCTTTCAGAGAGCCTCTTCAGATGGGTGTTACCTAGAACAGCCTCCAGGATCCTCTGGAAAGAAGACCCTTCTCCCAGCCGCTGTCCTTTTGCAGATTTCCCATGAACCACCAGGGCCTGGCAGTAAGTTGAACACCAGTTAAGATCCCTGCTCTAGGGGCGCCTGGGTGGCTCAGTGGGTTAAGCCTCTGCCTTCGGCTCAGGTCATGATCTCAGAGTCCTGGGGTCGAGCCCTGTATCGGGCTCTCTGCTCAGCAGGAAGCCTGCTTCCTCCTCTCTCTCTGCCCGCCTCTCCGCCTACTTGTGATCTCTGTCTGTCAAATAAATAAATAAAATAAAATAAAAAATCCCTGCTCTAAAGGCTAGTTGGGATTCAGGGTACAACCTGCATTTCTCTCCTCAGGGAGCCAGGAAGAGGCACCCATGTCACCCATCTTGACAATCTAGCTGACTGGAAGGGCTTTCCATTTATAACTGACTGGGTGAGCTCAAGCCTGAAGCCACACAAGACCATTTTGAAAGACAAAACCTTCCTATAGCCCAGAAGGACACATGACACACTGTGGATTCCTCCATGTAACCACAGTAAATACTATTCTCTTTTGCTGCTGAAACTTCAGTATTATTTAAAAAAAAAAAATCGACTCTAAGGAGAAAAACAAATAATTTTCTCTTTACGTGTAGCAAAACCAAAAACAAATAATTGAACAATAGGAATTCAAGCCTAGGGCTAACAAACTTGTCCTAGCTTCTAACTGAAAGCAAAGTCATAAAAGTTGCTGACACTTTTCACTTTAAAGAAGTCTGTTTGTGTTCTCGGCCCAAGGAAGTTGAGGGCACCTGGGAAAGTTTAGCTCAGGTCTGCCAAAGGATTATCCACATCCTTAACTGAAAAACTAATGTGAGCATTCGTCTTCTGCTGAAGATCTCAGAGTTTTCAAATTTGTTCTTTGCATTCGTGGACAATGGCTGATTTTTTTCCAGACAGGAAGAAAGAACTTGGGCTTTGGCCAAAGACCGGACTTGACACGCTACAGAAAGGCTCTCCCGTCCAATTTACACTAGATTGCAGTTTACTTTTTTTTTTTTTAAATGGAGGCCAACAAAGAGATCTCATATGCATGTAAATGTGGGCTTTCCATCCAGTAATGTTTGAACTGCAAAGGCTCTGCGGCCAGGAAGTATCACCACGTCACTCATATATTCTAGCAATCTGGATAACACCCAGGGCAGAGTGGAAAAAGATAGATCAACAAAAAAGTGCCTTTAAATGTGCTCAGAGGAATGGTGCCTGGGTCGGTTAACTCGTCGGTTAAGGGTCTGACTCTTATTTTTGGTTCCTGTTGTGATCTCATGGGTCCTGAAATTGAGCCCCTGGACATCTCCATGCTCAGCAGGAAGTCTGCTTGAAGATTCCCTCCTCTGCCAATCTCCCCTCTTGCGCACATACACCGGTGCACGCGCACTCTCTCTATCAGATAAATAAATCTTAAAAAAAATAAGGGTGTTCAGAAGATAGAAGAAAGTGGAACCTCAACTGAATTACAACTTGATGTTGCTTGTAAGACTGCTGGGACAGCCGAAAAGGAACAAGCCATGGGGTCTTGATATGTAGACTGGTATGTCTCCATCAGGAGAGCTCCAAGATGGTGGGTGATCCCAGACTTTCTGGTCTGATCAGAAAAGAGTAGGGGAAAGTAGTGACATTTCCTCTCTTTGGCCCCATCCTAAGAGGCACATTCCTGTCAGCCCCAAGGAGCTCAGTGTCAACCATCATTTGACCAATCATCATTTGATTAGAACCATCAAGTGACTGATCTGCCATGATCCCAGGTGGTCACTGGGAATGGATAGAGAAGAGCTACAAACCTGGGTGGGCCTGAAGGGAACAACCTGAGAAAGAAGAGTTAGGGGAGGATCCTAAAGTACATCTGGGGTGATCACAGAGGCTTGTTCAGTCTTGGAACCACAGAGCCCCAGAGCACAGGGTCTAGGAGCCAAGCAATTCCTGTTTAAGGGAAGTCCCAGCCGGCCTGGAATGGCCACCCAGAGTGGTCACACACTCCTCTCGGATTATGTTGGGCTTAAATAGCCA